CATTTTAATATTATTCTCCTACCTACGCCTGTTTCTTATCCTATAGCAATAAAACAAAAGAACGTGACAACCTGGATAAAACAGTGATATTATAATTTAAAAGTTGTGGTTTAAAATTTGGAATGATCTCTTTGTATGATGACGTGAATACATTTTTAATCACGCTACACTGTACCAGTTCCCAGGGAGTAGCCCATATTTAATGCAATTGAACGAGCAGACGGAAACACGGTTCGTGTTGACAGTTGTGAGTACTCAGCATTTATAACTAAAGGAACGGAAATATCAAAGCACTTTTCCTGTTTCCTGTAAAAAGAAAATGTCGTCAGATCCGAACTGTGTTACGGTTGGGTAGTTCCAACTGATGCTTCACTAAAACACGTGTGAATAAAAGGGAAATGAAGGACATCGAAAAGACGCGATGTTGACAGACAATGACAATTCGTCCCACGGCTCGCGTAAAGGTTTACAATTTTAACGCATTGTTGAATTCACTTCTGTAATCTAATTGATACGCAAAAATATCAAGCTATTCTACGTTTTAATAATGCAAGATCAATATTTGTACTTACATAAGTATTTATACAGTCCACAGCTTCGATATGAAATTAATTTTCTTCAAATAGGGCAGAGAATAAAACGTAGACATGAGCTCCGAAAAAAATCCATGCGAAATGTAATTTAGAATATGACGTGTCTAAAACACACGGATTAAACTCTGCGTAATTCAACGACATCTATCGGCTGGTAGCGGAACAACTAGGTCGTGTTTTGTTATTCTATACGTCTGTTAAGTGGTCTTATTATTCTTCTTGTCTTTTCGAATGAAATAAATCAATACTTCCCACGAGTCTTACAAAGCCGTCAAACACAGGACATCGAACATTGAGATTCTTTGTGAGCCTGAAAGGAAAAGCCCAACTTGGAAGACATAAGCGTAGATGGAAGGATAATGTTAACGTGGATCGCAAAGAAATGTGGACTGGATTCATTTGGCAGGCAATTTTGGACACGGTAATGAATCATAGGATTCCATAAAAGATACGGATTTTGACAAGATTAACTATTATCAGCTTCTCAACAATGATTTCTCGGTGGAGTCTGGTAAATATATGATTATAAAATAGCGTGGATAATTACGGATTTTAGTGTCTGTAAAAGAGAGAGAGACAGACAGTAGACAGGATTCAGTGGAACCAACCCAATCACGAAATGTATCAGCAATGAACATAAATTTGTTTGAAGGAGAGATGGGAATATGAGCCTTATGGCTTTGCATTATCACTGTCTTGAAGTTCGTTTGTTGCATATACGTTACATATTGCTGTAAATTAACAAAGGTACGCAGACACAACTAAGATACGAGGACTGTCTTTTGGTAGTGACGCCGTGCAGTTATTTAAGTGGCTAACAAAGCTATCCTGAAGATGAAAACGATATGTTTCTCCGAAACGTCTCACAATCCAGAAATCCACAATTCACATGTTCACTGCCGTGAAAATCCACATTCTTGAACAATGAGTTGGCCTATATATGAAATTCCTTTAAATATGCACACTTTGAAAAACGTTTACACGCCCAAATTATGTAGGCATTAATATAACATGTTGAGATTCCATAAGTTTTGTAACATGTTTTTCAGAACAATTACAAAATGTCGATTTCATTGTCACGTAATATTTAACCTATACAGAACAGGATCAGCGGAGATCACAATGAAGTTTAAACACTAATTTCCAACACTGCGTCAGTTTGCGCATTTCGTAACGCTGCAAGAAGTTAAAATGGCCGACAATGAAGGCAAACTACAAATAACCATTCCGTTTACCTGCAAAATTACCCTTCATCTACAAAAAATGGGAGTTCACTGAATCGTCCGTCAAAGATTACTGACTGGGTCAGTCCGTGTGAAATTTGCCGTTGCAACCAGTCTCGCAGGTTCGACGGAACGACACGAGATGGCACTGTCAAGGGACTTACTGTCTCCTGATTCCTAGCTGCCAAATCGTTGTTTCGGATCACACATGCAAAACAATAAAGAGCCACTGAACACTTACACGGTCTAGTGGAAACTTTACGTACTGTAACAATCTATACAACTGCATTTCGTGTGACTGTAAGAATAAATATCAATTATTTCCTTAAACAGCACTGGCTAGTAGTAGTTACTTGAAATGGAAAAGTGCTGTGTTTTCTTTGAGGTACGTGCGAAGAGACAACTTGTACTTAGGCTTGTCCTGCAAATAACACACTGCAACTGTTTCACAATAAATCCTACCCAAAATTCGATCACCTCTAAGCCAAATAGTAACTGTCTTCCAACTTTTTACCTTTCGGTGAAAGAAACTTAATGTCGTTTTGACGAAACTGCGAAATCAATTTACGTTTACAAAGACGGAATGAAATCAAATTACGTATCTCTGCACAAATATGCATAATGGAAATAATAATAAATTATTTGAGTGCGGATCAATTCTCTACTGGCTAATTACAAGATCGGCTCAAATATAACAAGGACATAACGACATTTAACTAACTATATCGTATGGCTTAGGGAACCCGAAGGTTCATCACCGAATTAACCAAAGCCCTCCACCGGACCCTGTCCTGGGCCAACAAAATCCAGTCTCCTTCAACTCCTATCTCCCATAGATCCCACCTGAGATTATCCTCCCATCTACGTCTAGGTCTCCCCAGAGGTCTCTTCCCCTCAGGCTTCCCAAATAGTGGACCCAACCAACCAGATGGCTTACCGAACCCAAAGGTTCATCACCGAATTAACCAAAGCCCTCCACCGGACCCTGTCCTGGGCCAACAAAATCCAGTCTCCTTCAACTCCTATCTCCCATAGATCCCGCCTGAGATTATCCTCCCATCTACGTCTAGGTCTCCCCAGAGGTCTCTTCCCCTCTGGCTTCCCAACCAATACCCGGTGCACACCTCTTGTCCCATCCATGCGCGCTACATGTCCCGCCCATCTCATTCTTCTTGACTTAATCACCCTGACATTACTGGGGGAGGAGTACAGATTTTTAAGTTCGTCATTATGCAGTTTTCTCCGTACCCCATCGTCTTCTCTCCTAGGCCCAAATATCCTCCTCAACACCCGATTCTCAAACACCTGCAATCTGTGTTCCTCCCTCTGAGTGAGTGACCATGTTTCACACCCATACAAAACAACAGGTAAGATTATTGTTTTGTATACTTTAATTTTCAGGTTCTTAGAAATCAGACGGGAAGACAAAATATTTTGAACTGAGAAGTAGCAAGCATTTCCAGAATTTAATCTCCTCCTAACTTCCTCGTGAACATAACAATTATAAAATTCAATTCATTTATTAACGTCCTTCACAACAGCTGAACATTCAACTACAGACAAGCTCTAAAGTAATTTTTCAATTCAATTCCAAGGATTATTGCAGCTTTGCCAACTTGATAAACAAGAATTCCAGGAGATCGGCTCTGCCCACTGGAGTTCATTGTCTTGAGATCTGAATACTTCGACGTTGTTCTCCAGGGCTACAACGCAGTGCGGATATACCCACGTTTCAGCCCCAAAGATGGAGACAGTGTGTTCTTCGGAACTATTGATATCTACCCATAAGTTCAGGCTACACGTGACATTAAGACGTCGGACTCAAATGGAGGTAAAGCTCTACACACTCTGGGGAGTAGTAAGCTTCACGTTGCTTTACCGTCGTGGTAGGGTCACGTATCCCTAGGAAACCGACAGCCCGGTTAAAAATGGCTACTGTAACAGAACACTGCAGATTGTCATGTTCGAAGAGATTCTTGAAGATCTTCATGTACACTTTCAGCTGTTTTAACCGATTTTAACCAAAATTGGAAAATGTATCGATAAATTACAGCAAAACTTCCAAAAATTACATTCCATAAAAAAAAACCGTTCAGCGAGTGTCGAGTGACGAGGCTAACATGCGCACTGTTCAAATTATCGTTACGAACACGCAAACAAAACAGACCCTCGGAGACATAGTTTTGAAAACGTGGGAATGAAAACAGAAGTAAGAAATCTGCATAATGTTTCAGCTGCGAATACCAGTGTTATCCATTGAAATACGAGGTGCGATCGGAAAGTTTCCAGACTGCGCGTATAAAAACCCGTACACTTATCTCAGGTATTAAATTCATCCATCACCCTCGAAGTAGTTCCCCTGGGAGTGAACACAACGA